CCCCTCTCAAATAAGTCCAAGGGGCAGAGGTGAGGAGGCACTGCCATGTCCTGGGTCTCCCCTCCCTGAACAAATGAAAACTGAAGGAGGCTGAGCCAGCAGAGGCCGAGGCAGTCGGAACCTTGGAGCCTCAGAGGGATTTGGGTGTTCCTGCACACTTCCCACTATCCCAGGGTGCTCCAAGCCACATCCAGCCTGGCCTGGAACATCTTGGATATTACCAAATTAAGGGAGTAACAGAAAAACAACATTTGTGAGGCAAATAAAATGTTACTAATTGCCTCAATTAATTGCCACAAGCCTGGACAAGACGTCTATCCACAGGATTAAGGAAGAGCAGGAATTCCCCTCTAGAGCATTTTCTGTTCCAAATGACTTTGCATCTCAAACTCTCATCAGTAAGGTGACAGATAATTTTCCCTTGAGTAATAAATCTGATAAGCTAATCTGCAATTAATTAAGCATTGTTCCAAACAAATGTTCATTTCAACTTCCTCTAATTTATCACAATTTGAAACTGTAATTCCAAGCAGTAGATCCCATCAGGGAGGAGAAGGGGTAGACTGCTATCACCCATTGGGATAATACATCAAAAGTGATGATTGTGAGGCATTCACCAGATTTCTGTCTGTAGTGACTCCTAGGAGGGAATTACATTTAGCACTGACCATGGTGTTTAACCAACACCCATCACACAGCTGTCCCTGCAATGGGAGGGGATCTGCAGGGCTTTGAAGCCTCATGTGCCTCCTGCTTCCAGCACAGCTTCCAGGGGATGTTCCTGTGCCCCCTGAGGAGCTGTGACAGTCCTGCTGCTGTCCCCAGCAGGCTGCTAAAGGCAGGTGGCAGCTGTTGGAAGGGTTTGCAGTCAACCCAACCATGCCCAAGCAGTGCCAGTGAAACTCCCGGGGCAGGAGCACAAGCCCTCCAGCTCACAGACCGCGGGGTCCCGGTGTGTCAGCACAGGCCAGGAGAGCCCCTGCCCTGTGTGTGTTTACCTGTTGATGCCCTCCTTGGTGTAGAAGATGGAGTAGGTGAGGTTGTCTCCCTGCGGGTCCGAGGCCGGTGGCCGCCACGTGAGCCGGATGAAGCGAGTGGACACCAGGGTGGCCACGACGTCCCGCGGGGCAGAGGGCAGGGGTCCCGGTGGCGCTGGTGCTAGATGGTCATTAGTGGCACTGGTCAGTGAAGTGGGAGCTAATGTTGGGATGGCAACATCTTGGCATGTGCAAACATTGGGGAATATGAAGGGCAAACATCACCACGGTTTAAAAAAAGAGAACAGAAAAAAAAACAAAACGTAAAAGAAATAAACAAAACCACGATGGGAAACAGAAGAAAATGAACACACAAAAAAGGCCATTAAACTGAAGGCTGACATGCAGGCAGAGGTAACTACTGACCACTAATGGCGAGTACAGGACACGGCACTGTCAGGCAAGCAGACCAAATCTCCACTGTAATGGAAGTGGTGGGGAGGGAAGGGTGGAACCGGGGGTAAAACAGACCTCAGGAGAGGATACCAGCAGCAAACCACAGTGTCATCGCTTTGTGACCACATGTCATGCCACACGAGTGACACTTAAACCCCAACCTCTGTCAATTACTCAAATACCCACTCAGACATCACATTCTACTGTAGCTCATTAACATGCACAGTTCATTTAAATGATTCTCAATCATAACAAAACGACAGATGAATACACAGAATTCCTTTCAGTGCAAACTCATCCAGTCAAGCCCTGCAGTCATTTCATACAAAGCTGCTTCCCGACCTGGTTGGGTTCTGCTACTGCCCATGGCACTGCAGTTACAGCCTTTTCCCCACCGTTTTCCTGCCATCAGTGCTCTTCCTCTGTCCCACAATTCCCATTTCATCATTTTACAGTGACTCCAACAAGCACAAACAACTGCTGCTCTGGATTATACCGACACTCTCCCAACTTTTACCCTCAGTCATGTCTTCCTATGTTGCTACTCCAAGGCAGGATAAATCCAGGGATTATTGCATTAAAAGGCTGGTGATTTAACAGCACAAGCTGAGCCATAGGAAGAGCCACTCTCCAAATTCTATTAAAGCAATCCAGCCAGTAAATGTAACAGTGAGATTCTGAGCAGCTGGACTCCAATTACTACTGAGTATTCCAAGCAGCACAATTAGTAACAAACCCCCCAAACTCAGGATATACAGAATTTTTCTGGACTCTTAACTATTTAGCAAGCTTAAGCCACCTGATGACATTTTCCACATGGGAATCCATGCTGCCAAATACATTTATTTTTTCATTAATTATGGAAACTAAGTAAAATTGCTCTGCTTTTTCCCAGAAAGAAATTCAGGACTAGAAGAGCTGTTGTTGAGCTGCAGCATCTCCACCAGAACATGTGGATTTGTGCTCTGATACACAATGAGAAAACCTCCCAAAAAAATGACTAAAGGAGAAAATGTTGTCTGAATGACCAAACCTTCAGGGAAAACCACTGAGGAGTCTTCCATCAGCAACAATTTGATTCGAAATTGTCAAAGCCCCTTGTCCACCCAAGCATCAGCTTGGGAAGTCCTCAACTGGCAGACTCTCATTTTTCCTGTTCTGTTTCTTGGGCAGGTCCTGACAGAGACCTAGAACCAGCCTTGGGTTTTTATCAGATTTGTACAACGTAAAATTTGTAAAACCAGTCCGTGGGCAGGACTGGGAGATAAGATTCCCAGAGCCACGAACATTTTGGCATTCCAAATGCAAATCACAGAGAGACATGTACTCCAGGGTATCTCCTTAATTATCTCTTCCACACTCTAATAGCTAAAGATCCCAATTAAGTGTTCTCCAGCAGCCCCTCCTGGTCAATACATGACACCATTAATTTCACATTCATTGCAAAATCTATTTTTATCTAACTCTCCCTTTTTTTATGTCCCGTAATTGGATTTCTTGCAGGAATGCACCACTTTTAGCTCTTCTGGCCTCAGCCAGGCACCACTCTCCCAGGGAGTCCCTTGCTGCTGCAGGTCACTAAGGAGAGCCCTAAATGGGGCCAGGGGATCTTCCCAAACCATCTCCCTGCTCCTGAATGATATTCCAGTGCTGATCCAGTATCACACCAGGCTTTCCCTGTGTTTAAATCCCAGCTCTTGTCACCAGTTCCCTTGGACTGGAGACCTTCTCACTGCACCTGACAATTCCTTCCTCAGTGTTCCCAATGAGGAGCAAGGGATGGAACTGCAGAACTCTCTGTGGTGCCCATTGATTTCAGCACTTTTCCCACTGTCCTGCTTGATTTCCAATTCACTTCAAATTCCAAACACTCATACTTGGGTTTCTCTTACCTGTCTTGGCAATACTGTCAGGTGATCTGCTTCAAATCACATGGTTTTGATGCAAAATCCATCCCTTATCCATTGTTAAAATTCATTCAGTTGAGTTCAAGTGGAATATTTTTAAAATTCATCTGCTTAATCTAAACCCCATTCCCACACACTCGTGTGTTTTTCTTCCCATATCATGAAATGGATCCATCTTTTATGAAGTGATGTGCACACAGAGCTGATGGGTCTGGGAGAGCTGCCAGGACTTCCCAGAGAACAGACACCCAGTTCTATCCTTGTGCAAGGCTCAGCCCAGGAATGTTCCTTCCCACGGCATGCCAGGAGAACAGTCACAGACAACAAAATCCTAATGATGCCTGAAAAATCAGCTGTGACCCAGAGAGAGCAGCAAGGACTGAAAGCCTCCAAGTGAGGTGATCAGGGCAGGCCCCAGGACTCCCCCAACACTGCACTTCAACACTTTTGGGACTGCCAGGAGCTGGGGGATGTACCCTGAAGATTAAGAGATTTCCTTCCTTTTGTCCCTGTATTTCCTACAAATGCCTCAAGTGCTGTTACAGAGGCTTCATCCCCAGTTGGGTGAGTAGAGCTCCACAGTCAGAGCTGTGTTAACGAGCAATTACACCCAAATTAGCTCTAACACCAGTCAGGGAATGGCTTTGTCACTTCCACCTTTCAGCACTATGGAAGAAGCAACTCAAGTTCTAACATCTCCTTCATCACTTCTTTAACAGTAACTCCAAATCTGGACAGTTCTCTGCAGTTATTCCTACACAGCTTCCCATGAATCTCATTTTTTAAAAGCACATTCAGCAAGTGACTTGTGCTTTGCACCACAATCTATGTCCTGCTGTGGAGGAACTGGGACCAGAGGGATGCTGGAACTCCTGAACAACTCCAGGCAGCAGAGTTCCACTCCTGCATCCCAGCCACTACAGGGCAGGAAGCAATTCCCTGCAACGTAAGAAGAAGAATTTTTAAACTTTGCCCTAGAAATTATTTTCCCCATGGAAATGGTTTTCCCTACATCCTGCAGCATTCCAAGTCACAGGAATCTGTGTTTGTGCTGTTCAGGTGTGACACCAACAGTGCCAGCCAAGGCAGCTGCACAGGAATGCCAGACATCCAGGGTGGGAGGACATTCCAGCTGCTAATCCTCAAGCCCCTTCTATCAAGCTGCCCTACCCAGGGCTCTTCTGAGCAGACATCAAACACTGCAACTATTTTATCAAAATACTTGCAGGGTGTGCAAATACCCACAAGGATTTGGGCTCGAATCAATCATAACAAGGTTTTAGCTGCCCCAGCACTGGGCTGGTGACATCCAATAGGTGAAGCTGTCCATGGGGTGGGTGCACTGGTGTGATCCCATCTTTTCATCCTGTAGGAAAACCCTGGGATAACAAAGAGATGGAGCATGCTGGAGAGCTGCTCCAGGGCCACCACCCAGGGGGCCCAGGAGATCTTTTCCAAACAACTCAGCCACACCTGAAAAGCACTCAGTGAAACACTCTGCTTGTTATGAAATCACTGGAAATACTTTCCACATTGTCCAGCCCCTCCGGTTCAGATTTCTCTCTTCCTTCCTTCCCCCTCTCCAGAGGTTATTGGCATATCCAGGCTCCCTCCTGTTTGGCAACAACACACCAGTGATACCATGTGATCCAACACAAAGGCTGGGGGGTGGGAACAGGGATGTTATCTGCTCCAGGCTTATCTGAACGACATTCCAACCCCTTGGGTACCCATCTGGCACTGCCACCACCTGCCTCTGAAGGGCTGTGGAAATGCAGGAATTCAGATCCAGAAGCACCTGAAGAACTGGTTAAGGTCACATTTAGGCTGTTGTGGCCATATCCAAGTGTTTGAAGTCCTCATTACAGGACCTACACGAGGAGAGTGCTGGGGATTTTGGAAGAAGAGGCACCAGACAGTGATCCAGGTGTTCTGGAGCCCAGTGCCTGCATCCAATGGAGCTCTGGAGCAGCTCTCACCCCAAACACCCAACAGGGACCTGAGTGCATCTCCCAGCCCACAGACATGGAGATCCAAGACTCCCTGAGGTGCAGTCAGGGGCTGAGGAGCAGGAATGGGTGGGGAAGGACAACTGTGCCAATGAACCCATGGAGGGGGAGATGGATCCAGCATGAGAAGGATCTTCTCAATGAGAATCATTCATGGGGACAACAAGAAACACGGGCACCACTTAATACACAGAGCAGGAGAAGAGAAAGTTCTCCTTGGAAGGACTTCAGGGTAGATTTGAAACATGATTTCAGCAACAAAGATCTACTACAACTAAAAATAGCAAAAAACTATTTTGCCAACAAACCTTTTGGAAAAAAAACCTACCTAGGACATTCAGATCTCAACACCTCTAATAGTTTAACTGTATTCCCTAAGAAAAAAATACCTCAGAGGCACCAAATGTTTAATTTTGACTTCAAATATTCATATAAAACTGTGTACTCAATAAATAATATTTCTCCCATAAATATATTTAGCTGGTTCCAGAAAGGTAATAAAGACTTGCAAACTTTTACTTAATGCACTGGTCTCCTAAATTTGAACGTTGGTTCATGATGTCCTGATGGAAGGATTCAGCTCAGATCAGGATTAAGCAGCTGTGATGCTGCAAAGAGAGTCAAATCCCCCTGATTTCATCATGCTCATCCTAGTTAAAAACAACAGCAGCATTTGGCTGCAGTGCAAAAATAAGCAGGAAATAACAAAATTAGTAAGTTCACACTACATACCTCCCTTCAAAACTTTGCTTTCTTTATTTTTTGCCCGTGTTTTCACTTGTATCCAATTGTCCTTGTTCAAATGCTTAAAACATAAATTTCCAACAGAAGGGATCACTTTGTTATTGCCAGCTGTTCCCTGAGTGACACCACACTCAAACAAAGTCACATTACCTGGCCATAATAATTTCTCTCAGACAAACAGCCAAAGTGCTGAAGTTGGTCTCATCAGATCAGCTGTAATAATGGAATTAACTTCTTCCCTTGAAAAAACTCATTTAAAGAAATCTCTGGAACTCCCTCCACAAATTGATGCTTTTGTGCAAAGCTGGAATAGAGACTGAACACTTGTGAAAAGAAGAGGATGGCAAGTAATTTCTGCTTTACAGAAAGATCAGAAAAGTCCTGAATCTCCTGGATTTCCAAAGACAGCCACCATCACCCCTATTCCCCTGGTGGAACACACAGATCCCTGTCTGCTTAATATAAAACAGCCTCCAATTTAGGATTTTGTAGACTTAATTATTCTTCATGAGCTAATTGAAACTGCAGAACTTTGTGGACTCTAATCAATTTTGGAAATTTGGAAACATATGGAATTTTTGATTTTGGAAATGTGTCAGAAAGACAAACACGACAGCATTGGGACCAACACCTCAAGGGAGGCACAGCTGGACATGGAGCCACTGACCAGGGCATGCCTTTGGGAATTACACCTGCAGGAACCACAGCAAACACAGGAGCTGATCCACACAAGCACTTCCCTGGATCATCTCACTCAAGGGACAGGTCTGAGGACAATTCTTAGAATAAATTTTATCCTTCACACACTTAATAACCCAAATTCAATCCCTACCTCTGAGGAACAGACCCTGCCCCACCAATATCCCTCATTTTTCCTCATAAATTAAATGGAGATGCTTCCTTATTTATTCCTCTGTGGTGACACATTTAGCCCAGAGCAGGAGAAATTTCTTATTTTTAATTTTTAATTGCCTTAGATTAATTTACATCACCACTGGGAGCAAGAGCTGTTATTTACTCTTCACTCAATTCACAGTGTTGCAAAAAAAACCCCAAAAATCCAGAACAAGCAAGTGTTTACCTGCCACTCAGTGATTCTGATTTTTAGCCATTTATTTGGTTCTGTTTTGCACTCTGAACAGACACTGCTGGATGCTCAATGAACTGGGATATATAAATATAGTGATAAGCACTTTCTGACTGGGAGCCTGTGTTTTAAAGGAAGTCATAAATCCCCTCCTGATAACAAGCCCTCCTCCCATCCCCATTTCACCATGAAATGCTTTGGTGTAGAGGAAACAATTTGATTTTTTCCTGTCTCATAAAACAAGCCTTAAAAAGGCGTGACAGCCCTGCTGACGCATTCCAGGGAAATGGAGCAGGAACCCCCCGGCTCCAACCACATCCCAGTGCTCCAGGGGAGGATGGAAAGGAAAAAAAACCCTGCAGGGATTTCAGTCACAAGACTCAGGTTATTAAAAAAAGGGAAATAAGCCATACACACCTCACCTGTCCCCAGGGAGTTCAAAACTGCTTTGAAACACATTTTGTCATTGGAAAGAAATTCAGACCATAACACATATTGCAAAATGATGGGTATAACCTTCAAATTCAATAGTGAATATTCAATTATTTTAAAAATTAAATATATTTAAAAAAAAATACTCATTACGAAAAAAAATCAAAAACCCAAAACAAAACCTACATATAAGTGTCCCCAAAGAACCCTGGCCAGGGTCTCCTCTTACTGTAAATATTCATCAGTTGAACTCCTCTGAAGGATTAAAAAAATCTCCTGAGAGCAGCAGAGCCTGCAAGAGTGTTCTGCAATCTGACTGTAATAATGGCAGCAGAGCTGTGACTTTATTCCCAAATAACTGAGCTCTGTTCAAGCACAGTCTGAGAGAGCAGTGACAAATTAAACCCCGTGTCCTGTGCTCAGGGCTCAGCTCTGCACAGCCCCTGGCACATCCAAAGAATTCAGGATGGCTCTGAAGTTGCCAATAACTCTCCTGTTGCCCTTGGGCACTTCCCTTCCCTTCCCACGTCTCCCCTGTGGAATCCACAGGGATGCTCAGCTGGCACTCCCGAGGGAAGAGGGTCAGCAGTGCTGGGAGCTCTGGGAATGCTGCAATAATCCCCAATAACCCTGCGGGCAGGCAGTGCAGGAGTTGCTGCTGAGCTGGCACAGCCCTGGCAGTGCCCAAGGCCAGGCTGGCTGGGGCCTGGAGCACCCTGGGACAGTGAAAGGTGTCCCTGTCATGGCAGGGGTGCATGGGATGGACTTTAAGGTCCTTCCAGCCCAAACCACCCTGGGATTCCATGACCATGCTTCTACTATTTCAGGAGACAATTTCAAAGGAACAACACAATACCAGCCTGAACTGAAATAAAGGGACCCAGCAAGCACAAACCCTGCTGGCTGCTGGTCAAGGCTGCTGCCCACAATCACTGACAGCCCTGACCTTCATCTGCACTGTTTTCTGTCACTGCCATGCTCCTCCAAGTGCCTCTGGACAAACATCCCTGCCCCTGTCTGGGACACTGCAGGGGTACAAGGGCTGTAGTCCAGTGCTACCCTCCATGGCTGCTTTTCTCCAAAAAAACCCCCTTGGAAGTGGGACATCTTTTCCTTCTTTTTGAGAGCTGCTGACACTTGGAACAACTCAGCAGCACCAACTCTGCCAAACTAGAGCTGCAGCAGATGAGGCTGAACAAGCTGCTTATTGTCAAAATTGTCCTTATTCCGCCAAGCTTTTAAAAAAACTTATACATGTATCTACCACACTCTATCTTCCTTCTATTAAGGTTTATATCTACACAATTAATAATTTTTAAGAGAGAGAATGTCCCCTCAAACTCCCCTTTCCTCTTTTAGTCTGTAACCACCTACAGAGCAGCACTATTAGACATGGTACTGGATATTTTATTAATTTTCACTGGATTCCTCTGCTAAAGGCCACATGTACATGCTCCTTGCTGCCCACCTCACACCCACCCATTTTTATAGAACCAGAGGAGTATAAAGATATCTGAGAATCTTACAAACTCTCAATTAAGACTTTTTTCTTTCTATTTTTAAACCTGTAATGTTGACTTGCTTCCTCATATTTCTAATACCAACAGAAAAAGTGAACCTCGTGTTTTTAAAACACAACTGCTTTTCCAAGCACAGAGGCTTGGGAATTTGGTGTGCACTTCCCAGCACACAAGAATTGAAGGTTATTCCCCAGAAGTACATGATGGGGTTTATAGCAAAAGATGAACCCCACTGAACTCCATTTAAATGTGGATCTGCTGTGGTCACTGACAACTTAAAAATGCCCAAAAAGCAAGTTTTCAAAGCAGTTTATAAATGTAAATTGGTACTGAAGAAAGGCCAGGGTGGAATGTCCATCCCCAGTCAGCTGTGACCTGGATCCAGGCATGACTTTCCTCCTCCTTTCTTTTCCTTCAACACCTCCAGTGCTGATGTGTCACCAGGAAAACCACACAGAATCTATCTGTCCTTTAAAGACTCTGGATCCACAATTATGAGTTTCTTTTTGGGAAGAAGAGAGATGATAGGAGAGGGGAAACAACCAGGAAATCAAGAAACTCCCACTCCAGGCTGTTCTATCCCAGTAAGAACAGTGACATTTTACAGCTGGATTCAATACTGAACACACATTATTAAAAACTGCATTTCTGTGTTAGGTTTATGGCATTTCCTTAGGGAATAAACCCCATGAGCCCATGGTAACTGTGCAGGTTATCCTATCAATAGAGTACCAGGGTCTTCTCCCAGCCCCAGATATTCATCAGCATGAGTGCTCTTACCCACTCAGCCCAAGTGAAAACCAATCCTGTCCCTTCTCTCCAAATGGCATTCAGCCATCTCTGCTATTCCTGTATAATTTAGCAACTCTTGAAATATAAGCAACCAATTAAGACCAGCCCCACGTGTTTGTTCCCCCCACTGGTGCGAGACTGACAAAATCTGATCTTTCCCTTTCCAACACGAGCCTGGGATCAATTACAAATTAAGGGTGTTTCTGTCAACCCCCCCCAGGCCTGGATATGAGGAATAAAGGCAGAGGAAATGCCTTTGGAAGTCATGACGGATATCAAGCTACAGCTAATCCTGCCCTTCCACTCATCCAGGGATGGAAAAAGCAAAGCCACTACAAACAACAGCCCTCGTGATCCACTGCAGTGGCTGCTCTTGCCCCTGATTATTTGTATTTTCCCTCTAAGCAGGAGGCAGAGGAGCCATCAGCCATCACTCCCCAGCTGGAGCTGGGCTCGTGTCCGGAGCGGCACCACTTTGTTCCCAGGAAAAAGCACTCCTGACATGACATCACCCAGCCAGCTGCCAGCAACATGTAAAATATGAGCAGAAACATAACTGGAATGGGTGGATTTCAGTGCTGTTGAGGGAGGTGTATTTGGTGTTGATAATCAGCCTTTCTGGTGACCAAGAGATTTTTATGTGACAGAGAAACTCTCTCAAGAATTCATGATCAGCCAGAAGAGATAAAATGGACTCAGAGCCTTCCATATGCATCCTACCCCACTGCACTTCTGCAGTGGGACAATAAATATGGAATAATACAGGTGGAGCACAGCAAACTTGTATTAACATGTGTTGTGTGTTTCTCATAAAACCATGAAGCTTTTTGCTCCTACAGGTCCTTGCTCTGCCTCCACTGAACATTCCTTATGTACCACTCCTTTTCCAACATGACATGGAATTTCTTCAAGTACCTTGTAGCCATCAACTCCCCTGGTGAAAACCAAAATTCAAGGTGCCAGTGTTTCCAAGCACAGCTGCACAAGCAGCATCCCCAAAATCCTTTATTTGTGGGCCCAGGCTTAAGGCACGGCACCCAACCCCGTACGAATTCCACCAGGAGTTCCCACTTCTTTGCCAAGCCAACTGTAAATACAGTCATAAAACAAGAAATGAAAACTAATAAACACAATATAAATGCTGTTCTGCCTCCCTGCAATTCATGGCACGCTGGCAAACATTAATCTATTCCTAATTTAATCTAAATTAGAGCAATTTATTCAAAGCCTGTGCCAGCTTTAAACATGAATAGGCTACTGAGAACTGCTTAGCTCCCGTTTCATCAAGTTAAATGTTAAAGAAGTTCAGGATCTAGGGTGGTTTAATCAGTTCTGCTTCTCAATAAGACTATATATAAGCAGGGCCCATAAAGAGGGAATAAATAAAGATCATTTATTAAACAGGAATTGAGTCGAGAAATGGAACTGACTGAATTCAAACAGCTCCCAGGCCATTTTGAACAGACATGCAGCCATGAGAAGCACAAATGCTCCTTTCCCTGAGGAATAATAGCTAAGTAATGTAAATTAAAATCAAAATTAAACCCAAAAACCCCACTCTTCCAGCACTAAAGAGGAGCACACACTGCTGTGTTTACAGAAAATTAGCACTGGAGTGTACACAACCGGTACAAAACATTCTCTGAGTTTGGCTTTGGCTATGACTGTTTGAAGTCAGTTTGTGATTTCAGATGCTGTTTATGTTCCTGAAGCACAACTCTCCAAATGAGGCTCCCAAGCTGTTCCTGCACCATCCATCTGACGCTGGGGGGATGCTGGAGGGCCAGGATGGAGGCAGGGACTTCAGGAATGTTCATCTCCACGGAGCCCCAGCACTGCCAGCAGCTCCTAAACGTTCACCACGTGCAGCTTGGAATTGGACATTTGCTGCTGTTAAAGCTTTTTGGGGACAAACTTTAATACTGGGAGTGGAAACCCTCAGGGATATGTGGATATCAAATAGACAAAAGCAGGGAGGAAGCTCCCCTGCTACTCCTGGCTCTGATGATGCTCATCCCACTGGATTTTCCATTCTCTGACTTTCAGATCTTCCCCTTCCACCAGATCAGATTCTTCTCCATGTCCCCAGGTTTCCAGTGCAGCACAGCCAGGTGCCCTCAGCACAGACCTGCTCTCCCAGAACCCTGGGCTGCTTTGTGCTGGAAGGGACTTTGAACATCCAGCTCCACCCCACGTCCATTGCCATCTCCCACTGCCCCAAAATCCACAGCTCATTCCTTGGAGTACTTTTTCCTCTTGACAGAAAACCTGAATTTTTGTCTGCAAGGCTTTGCAGCCTCCCTGCTCAATTTTCATCTATTTCTTCCCTGGTGGACACTGAGACTCCTGAAAGCCACTCCTGGAAACCACATGGACCTCTTCCCATTTTCCTTCACTAAGACATGCAAAATTGGACAAAGCAGAAAGAATATGAGAGCATTTCTGTCCGAGAGAAGAAACATGAGACCCTGCAGAGGAACACCCAGAGTCCTCCTTTATTGTTCTTTCAATAAGAACAGTATATTTTTATCTTGCTCTGGCATTTGATTCACAACACCCTGCAGATTTTTCAAGTACTTCTGCAGTCTCCAAGAACTCCACAGAATTCCATGGACTGAGAATGCTTTCATTCACAATATGTAACTAAAAAATACTCTAAAGCATCACCTCTATGAGTGAGAGAGCCTGAGAAGGTACATTTGATATCTAGAAAATCATCCAAAATAGGTCCTGAGGTGACATGAGAGGAGTCTGCCTCAGGGCTTGAACCAGGCAAGGCCCTATTTATGGGATATTTTACACATGGCAAATAGACAAATGTGTGATTGAGTTTTTCAAAGCAGAGCACAGTTGGCCTGTTAGTGCCAACTTTTGCATTTCTTTCAGTAGGAGCCAAAAATTGTCAACAAGAACTTCTATTTGCCTCCTACAACAGCATAATGAAGCTTACAGCTATGGAAAACACAGAGTACTTCATCTATCCTGACTGAAGTAAGGCTTCTGACACTGCCTTTAAAATCCAGCTATAGCTGGGAATCTTTTCAGTCAGGTCAGGGGAGCTAAAATGGCATCTATGTGAGGAATATGAATCTCCAAGTCAGCCTGAAGTGACTTCAAACAGTCCAGTACCATCTGCAGTGCAGAAATGACAGGTTTTCAGCACAATCTTAAATGAAATGTGCTGGCTTTGGGTAATTTGGATCAGATTCCTGATGTTCTCCATCTATCTGTGGGTCAGAGAAGCCCCCAGCCCATCCAGCCCCTTTCAGTGCTCCAAGACTGCACACAGCCCATGGCCAACCCTGGCAGAGAGGTACCAACACAAAATGGAATTGCTTATGCAGCAATGGGCCTGGAGAGAATTCAATTGCTTTTAAAAAGCACCAATTTAGGGCAATAAATGATGTCTGTAAAATTCCCTCCAAATTAGGATCCACGGAATGCAACTCAGCAGAGGAACTGAGATGATGCAGTGGTGTCAGACTTTAATCCAACATCAGGCACTTTTGTTTTTCCAGAGGGGATCAGCAGGAAACACATCCCATGGAACTGTCAGATTTGGACATTCTGTGCAGAGCACCAACACCAAGAGGGTGCATCCCCATCCCTGCCTCACAGTGTGGCAGGACCATGGAACAGCTCTGGGTGTCTGGGAGCTCACCTGAACTCCCCCTTGAGCAGAGTCACCTCCAACCAGGCTGCTCAGGGCCTTTGGCCAGGTGTGCCTTGAGTATCTCCCAAGAGCAGAGATGTCCAGACCTCCCTGGGCAGCCTGTTGGGCTGCAGTTCCCTCCCTGTGAAACTGCTTTCTCTCATCAGAAATTCCTTTGCTTGCAGCTTTTCCCTGTCCCCATCCCTGCCTGAGCAGTAACAGAGTCCAGGATGAATCAAACTCAGCACATCCAGTACATCACATGGCTCTCCACACATCCCATCATCCAGTCTGGATTTCCTCACTTTAGCTTCAGGGATACCCTCAGACACAGCACCAAAGGCCTGGCTAAAGGCAAAGCAAACAAAATCCACTTCTGTCCTCTCAGCCACAGGCCCAACCATTTCATCTCAGACAGGCACATGAACATAGTGTGCCTTTGGCAAACCATGCTGATTTCCCCAACATCATCCCTTTCATGTACCCACAGCATGGCCTGCAGGGGGATTTGCTCCATAACCTTCCCTGAAAAGGTTCCAGCTCCAGCTGAGCTTTGTCTTTCCTACATCTCTACACTTCCAGGCAATTTTCTGCCTTGGATTCCAGACTCCCTGGGCTTTCACTTTGTGTCAGAGCCCAGTTGGCAGCTCCTTCTTTATCCCTCCTGGTCTCCTGGACACACACATTCAACCCCTGCCCTGTGGGGCACACCATTCCTGTGCTTTGGTCCTTCAAGATCAAATGGTTTGTCTCTTGTCCATTGACACAGTCTCCTATGGAAACCTACCAAAAACAGCCCAAACAAGCCAAAGCCTCCTGTCTGGAAGCTGAAGGCTGGAATTCTCAGCTCCATTCGCCAGCCAGACACAGGCAATGAATTCCAGCCTAGTCTGGAAACCCCACATCCTGCCTGTCACACATGGAGCTGCCACCCCAGCACCCCTACATGAGTACCCTGGCTGTGTTAAAAGCTCCATCTCCCCCCTGCCCTGCAGGATCTAGTCTCCAGCAGACACACACACGTCCTTCCATCCTCTGATCCCTGTGCCAGTGCTCCTGGCTGGCTCATCACCCTCTCCAAAGTGATGAAACGTTGGAGTCAGCCCTAGAGGGTGTCCCAGTTCCCTGTTTCCCCATCCCTCCTTCCTGAAGAACCTGCACCCATCCCTTGGAGCCATCCTCAGATGTCTCTGTGATCCCAAAGCCTCACAGCTCTACAACTACACACAGATTTCTAATTCCTCCTCCTTGCTACCCATGCTGGGAATAATTAATCACATGCAGGATACCCTTGCTTGGACAGGGACCTTTCTTCATGAAAAAAATGAGTTTAAAGAAACTGATAGTTCCACTACAAATAATCCTGGCATTGTTCCTACAGCACCATATCCAACTCATTCACTCCAAGATCTTACTCCTATACAATCCACAATACAGTGAAAAAAACCCTATTTTGTGGTATAAAAGTACAAGAGCCCCACAAAACACCTCCCTTCAGTTGTGAAGGTGACACAGTGCATCTGAAAGGAAGGTTTGAAATTGTTCTCCCATAACATGGCATATTTGTTTACAGTCCAGGGCCGTGCTTTCCACAGCGTTCAGGCATCGCTCCTGTTTTTTCCCCAGTGCCTGAGTACTTGTCAATGCCTTTCACACAGGGTGACAGGGAACCATCTGCCTCCCTCCTCCTACTTGTTGCCACCTGTTCTTTTCCCAGTCCCCACATGGCAGCGTGAGCTGGGCCAGATTCCCTGGACAAGGCCAGGTTACAGCACCAAGAAAGCCCAAATGCCTCTGTTACCCCGAGGGTCTCACTCACCTCACACAAAAATGCTCTAACAGTGATGACAAGGAATGGCTCTGCTCTAATTTAGTGTATCTGCTCTGTAACTGGGACACTCAGGGGCTGAGCAATAAGGATTGGAAGTAAAGCAAGCTGGATTTGTGTAAAAAAGGGGAAGGAGAGATTTGAGGTTGCTGAGAAAAGCATTCCCATGATGGAGATTCTGGGATAGGCAGAAGTCCTCCATGGGGGCATCTGCAGGACATCAAAGCACTCATCTCTTTATAAAGGAGGCAAAGAGAGAAGCATTGAGACTGAGAAGTCCAAGTGCAGGGCAGTGAGGTCATTGAGGAATTTCCTTCTTTTAGGGAGTTCCCAAATTCTTCCTAAAAGGCAGAGCAGGCAGCAGAGCCACTCCAGTGAAATTCTGAAAGGCACTGAGTGTCCAGGGGCAGTATCTGAGAAACAGGGACACAGCTTCAAATCTCAACGTGGTTGGAAAGCACATGAGAGGCTTTTCAAGCCCCTTGCAGAATTCTGCACCTGGTGTTCAGTACAGGGATAAAGAGGATTTAACTCAGATCATTGACCCAAATCTTCCTCCCCCTTCTATTCTTCCAACCCTCTCAAATACAAACACTTGTCCTAAAAATCTCTGCTCTCAATACCATGATTCTTTCATATAGTCCTGAAAAAGCAAGGGTTGTGGATTCTGTATGGCAAATGCCTTTCCAGATGCAAACTCTTCTAAATTTATTAACCAAAGTTTAGAATTACCAAAGTTTAGAGGAAAAGCCACTCAAGAAGATTTTAAATTCTGTGCTTTAACATTCTCCACAAATAACTTTCCTATGTACTAAAAGCTACCCAGAAGTCACACCAAACACAACAAAGCCCAGCCTAAAACATTGTCTGATCAATGAGGATACCGAGCTCATTGCAGGAGATGAAGAATCACAGATGGACTTTACAGAGGTTTCTGTGTGGCTGTGCCCACACTGTGCAGAAGGTGAATCACCAAATTCCTGCTCTCTCCAAGTCAGAAATCTGTCCAAACACAGACAACATCCCTTTGTAGCATATATATGTTTTCCCCTCACTGCATTTCAAACTTACACTGCCTTCTAGGAGCACAAAACACAGATGTGGGACTTCATTTGGATGAGAGAACTCACATGGCTTCCCTGAGAAACTCCCCAGGGCTTCCACTTTCTCATTTGCATTTAGTTCATTCAAGATCAATTTGATAAGCAAAAAGGGCTAATGAGAAATGGTCTGTAAATAGCCAGATGTTTGCCAATTCCAGCAGGAAGGAGAAAACAGAACAGCACGGGAAGGGAAGCACTGCTAACTGGGAAGAACTTTGATGAACACTTCATTTTTCTCACAGAAGTTACTTTTCAAATTGGCAAAGTTGGCATTTCTCATCAGCAGCTACAAAATAATTTAAAAAATCCAAGTTTCCTGAATTAATGATTGAAATGTTCAGAATAGTTTTTGCTCAAATTAGGGATTTAAATTTTTATACCAAGCCAGCTGCCACTACTGCATGTGATACCTTCTCCCTCTTTCCCAGAACACTTTCCTTCTTCACTGGTCATGCATTGAGGGAAGGTATTTTAAACCAAATTTCCTCCACCTGTGAATTGCCAGCTTCCACATATCACACTCATTCCTCCTGGCACTCCTCATCACAGCCCCCCTGCACAGCACAGTCCCACATCCCCTTAGATGTGTTCCATGGGGGTGTCCCACTGCTGGAGAACAGCATCTCAATGGCCCCAGAGCTGCAGGGACACAGCCTTGGGGTGTGTCTCTACACCCACACTGAGACTCCACCACTGCAGCCCAAATCCTCTGGCAGCATGCAAAAGAGAAAGGACATTATGAGGCAAAGCCCTTCAGAACGGCAGGACGAGGTGCCCGAGTGGAGCAGGAAGGAGAAACCACTGGACACACAGCAGCAGAGGGAAAGGAAGAGGAGTGAGACCACAGAACTTCAATAAAGCAGTGAGAGCCATTTATAAACTACTGCTGGGAACTGGGTGCAGGCACAGGCTTGGGCAGGGCTTCCAAAGCCAAGGCCGTTCATTATTCAGTGTTTTTTCAAACGTGGAGAATATGGAATCATGCTTCTGCTGGAAGGGGCTGCAAACCACTCAGTTGATTAATGCACAGAGCAGAAATTAAATTACTTTTAATAATTTTTCTGGCAATCTGGTGACAGCAGGGTAGTGCTGGATGCAGACTCCTGTCACTGCTCCGAGGCTGGAATGCCACGGCTCCATGGCTTTAAAGCTCCTGACCTAAGGAGAGGGCAACCCTGCATTCCCCAAATCATTCTGGGGGGTACCTGTGGCTCTTCAGCCAGCAGTGAATACACCCAGATCCAAAGAGGAATTCAGAGGAAGTAGCAATTGCACAGCTACTCTACAAAACAACTGGAAAATAAATGGGAAATCTCCCTTTATGGCTCATTCCTAAGTTTACTCTCTGCACACTGGACACCAAACCCAGGGGCAGCAGATTCACACCTGTTCAAGGTGTGAAGTTCCAGCAAACCTCCAGCCATGGCCAAGACCGTTTCTCCTAAATCCTCTCCATCCAAATAAGAAAGTAATTGGAATTTAAAACAATCTCTCTCCAAAAAGACAACACAAAGTCCCCCTTGGTACAGTTTCAGTATTTTCTTGTCTACCTTGTCTCCCCTTATCCTCTGTACTAGTGGTTTTCTTCCTTGGACTCTTAGAAATTATTTTTCAGAACTACATGACCTGAAAGAGCAAAACAAGCTGATGCCTTAGTGATGATATTTGCAGCACCTCTTTTTTGGGGTTTAAACATAACACCAGTTGTTCTGCTTTGCCACTCCAGCCATGTATTGCAGGACACTGTATAGGGAACACTGGCAGGAGTTTCACTAATTGGAGCACAGGGACAAATATTTACCCTAAACTGCAGCTGTAACCCACCAGATGTGCAGCTGCAGTTTGCAAGAATGACAAAATTCACTATTTTTTTACACTAATAGCAGAAAAAAGCTTCTGACACTGGAATGGCTTTGATATAAAATATGTGATTTGGGGTGTGCTCCATAAGTGCTTCTTTTCCAGGTTTGTGATTTTAGTGACTGCTTTCATTTTGGCTATTCTGCTATTGCTTGTAAACCTCAGCATGCAACATTTCTGATCATGCTTTATTACTGCACCAAATATTATCCAAAACACAGGATGGATCCTGTAGAATTCCTTCAATTCTCCTCATTAAGTTTACAGAAAACAACACTGGATCACTCACATGATTTTTAATAAATCACCCTGCTCTAGCTGAGTTACTGACAGAACCTATCATGTGGAAAGGTCCCTTGGAATGGTCCCTCTCCATTTTTTGCTCTCTGCTGTCACAGTTTATCTTACCAAGGTCAAGTATTATCAGCTGGGCTCCAGCCTGTGCATTTCCAACATCATTTTCTGCAATGCACTGATAGAATCCTTCATCAGACTTCACCAGCCCCAAAACTTGCAGGTTATGTTCTTTCTGAGGAGCAAAGGGAGAAACAACACTTAGAAATGGCTGCAATTGCCAAAACAATGGTGTCATCACAGCACATTACTGTGGCAGGAGAAACTTCTGACAGCAGCTGGGAAAAGAAAGTGTGTTTGGTGTTCCAAGATCTCACCTCCCTTGCACTGAATTCTCGTGTTCTAGGGCATCAAAAAGCAGCAGAAGCTCTCATTAATGGCTATCATTTTCTAGCATCACACAGCACTGGCAAACCTAATGCTTCCCCAGCTGTTCTGGTGGTACTCTGGGCCTTGACTGAACCTCACAGCCCCACAACCCAGGTACACCCAATTATACAGCCACGTATTTCTCAACTATGTCTCAATAATGCCTTTCACTGCATCTAAAATCTCCCTGTAGAAGCACCCCTGTGCCAAACTCACCATCCACAGCTCAGTTACATTTTTATTTCAGCTCCTGCTTGAAACTGGAATTTTTATGGAGCACAGACTGAAGCACACTCAGCCAGTGGTCATAGTGAGCTCATACTCTGACACTGCATTTTGCCACCTGTGTGCCTGACACTCCTGGAAAGTCCAAGCTATAAAGGCATCAGCTCTTACAATATAAACAATGTACATTAAAAGGATACAAGAAACCATTTCACTTCCAGGCCCCAAACATCAACAGGACAAAAGCAGGACGCAGGTTCCATAGAAGAACCGAATTTAGAGGATTATGTGTACAAGAACTGGCAGCAAACAGCCTTAAAACCTGCCAGAGGGACAATGCACTTACCACGATTTTGAAGTAGTCACTGGGGATCACCATGTCCCCGTTTTTGACCCATTTGACAGTGGGTGCTGGTTTCCCTGTCACCTCACACTCAAACACGATGTCCATGGACTCGTGGGCATAGATGTTCCCAGGGCGCTTCAGGAACGTGGGGGGCACTGCAGGGTGAAAGGAAGAAAGACAAGAACACGATATTACAAGCACAGAAAGAGCTGACACACAAACATGGACTGGGACTTGGGCATGGGATCTGCAGCTCAGGTTTGACAGACACCCACACAAACTGGGAGCTCTTCCAGAATCACATTTGGGCCAGGCTGGACAGGGCTTGGAGCAGCCTGGTGTCACTGCAAAGGGTTGGGACATGATCTCTAAGGTCCCTCCAAACTACATGAAGGAAGAAATGGAACTGAGGTGCATAAACTGCAAAGCTAAACCTCAGAGTTCAAGTCAATAGGAAAACAAAAGCTACAGTTACATCAAAAAGTACTTTTAAAAACGAATGGACACAAAATTGAGATGAAACTTTCCCAGGCACCGTGGCCTCGTGTTCCTGTGAAGGAATTGAGATTATCACAGAGTGCTGCATTGAGCCCCAGAGCTCCCTCTCTGACCTGTGGAAGCCAAGGAAATCAGATGTCCAGGAGCAGCCAGGTGCCTTTTACCACAGAATGACATTTCATGGATATACAGGAGGGGAGCTGTGCCTTTATAACACAGCAGAGCAGAAGCTCTGAACATAAATTCTATGAAGAACAGAAGTCCCCCACTTAAAACATGCACCAAAGGTCTTACTCTGGGTCTTGGCTGCCTTTTAAATATCCTTAAGTCCTCAGAGTGAGATTAATTCAATTAAATATATTTAAAAATCACAAAAACGCTGAGATACAGATTTTCTGGGGACACCAGCCCCAAGTGACTGGTGCAACGACAGGTGACAGTTTCTCCCACAGGAGCCTCCAGCTGCATCCAGGGCCTCTGCACTCATCTGGCTCAGCAGCACCAAGCCCTGCAAGCACTCATTCCTTGAGTATCCTCTTTAGACAACACCCATCCATTTATTTGTGTTTACTGCACTCCCAGCACAGGGCAGTTCTCTTACTTGTGTTGGCAGCTCGGATTGTTGGAGTTCCAGGAAATCCCAGAGCAGCCTTTTGCCCTTTAATATTTAGCAAAGAAAGTCAATATGAAAGGGCCACGGGGTTTAGACAAACAATTTACACACTTGGCCTCTCAACAGGGTTTATTTGGTGCTGTGGATAAGGAATCCTAGGTCATGTTTTACTCCTTCCTCTGAAATTATCCCCAAGGTTTGTAGATGGATTTAATACTTTAAAAACAGCTGGAGGTGAGCAGCTCTCCCAACCCCCCTCATGTTTTGGATTATAAATGAATAAAGAGAGCATTAATAAATGGAAATACTTTAGAGTAAGAAGGTGGTTTAACTCTCAGGTAAGGGTGCAAACCTGCACAAAGCTGTACATTCACTGCTCAAATTCTCACACAGCAGCAAAAAGCTGGATGGGGCAGAGCCTGGCTGCCTGTGAATTCAGACATCCCTTTCATACCAACTTCCCAAGAATTTCCCAGACACACCATAAATTCCCCCTTGAAAAGGTTCAGATATTTCTGTGCTAACTCTCTGATGGCTGCTACCACCACATACAACTCTGACATTTGAAAACTCTCTTCTAAATTTATTTGCCACCAAATTGCTGCAATTCATTCTCTATGAAAATTATTTTTATCCCTCCCTGGTATTTATCCTCAATGCTGTTATTTATTACAAGCTGTGCTACTGCTCCCTCCCTTCCCCTGTCCCAACCTTATTTTGGGTGGCTCAACAAGTCGTGTTTGCTTTGCTCTGCTGTGACAATTCCTCACAACCTCCTGGATGTGCTCCAGCCTGAATCCATCTCCAGAGCCTGTGCAGTTTCAATCATTTACATGCAATTTCAGCCATGTCTCAGCAGTGCCTTGAAAAATGGCATAAATACCATGTGAGCACTGCAGCAAATCCCTCACCCAATCCATCACTCTGCCTCTGCCCTCCCCACATGCATCATCCCTGCCAGCCTGGGACAATCATTGCCCGCTCATCGTTAGCCCTTTTTAACTAATGACTCATTTTGTTCAGCCTGCCTGATCAATAGTTCATGTTCTCATTTCCCTTCCATCTCTGTCTCTGGCTGTATTCACATGCACTGATTGATTCCTGTACTGCTTGCACAGTTGAAAAAAGGGAATACAGGAATTGGAAAAGTTGTTTTTCCATGAATGTACAATGCTTCCATTTCCAAAACATTCATTACAGGTGAGTTTTAATTCCTTTGTCACATATTAATTTTGTCAGAAGAACATAAAGAGACACAAGCCAGTAACAGTCACCACCAAAACCATAAAAACTTATCTGAAAAACTCATAATGGAATCCCAGCCTGGTTTGGGCTGGACAGTTCCTTGAAGATCATTTATCCCACCCCTGCCATGGGCAGGGACACCTTGCAGTGTCCCAGGGTGCTCCAAGCCCCATCCAACCTGGCCCTGGACACTGCCAGGGATCCAGGGGCAGCCACAGCTGCTCTGGGCACCCTGTGCCAGGGCCTGCCCACCCTCTCAGGGAAGAGCTGAATGCACAGACAGTGTCACAGCAAAGTTCTGACTCTGCCTTCTCCACCAACGTTTAACTCTTAATGAAGACATTTGGAAAGAACTCGGATATCTTTGGCAACTGATATTGCTCCAGTTTGGGACATCAGCCAAAAAGAGGCATTGATTTTGAATCAGAAGAGCCAGGATTTTTTTGACACAAAAATGGAAGTTGAAGTAGATAATATCCTACCTACTCTCAATTACTTTTGATTTAGGAGATTAAGAATTTCAAACACGCTATTTTTTCAAAGTGACTTTGCTTGTCTGGCTCATGGAGCAAATGCCAAGCTGCTCACAAAGGGATAATAACACGAGGAGTGCTCACTTTATCAATTACCTCCCAGTTAATGAATTAATAAATGCTTTTCAAACATACTCTTCTGGTTTAACTATGTCAGTGTTTAGCATTAACACAATGCAAGTACAGATGTTTGTGGTAGAGAAGTTCAATTGATAACCAGCAAGCAAACAAGTCAATTACCACAGAAAACCAGATCTGTAAGGGAAGATCGTGTGCTCTGTTGCCAAACACACAATTAAATTTCAAAGACGACTTGGCAGTTCACCCCCTCTTCGTGTCAGCACAGAACAACTCCTGAAAAGGAAAAATTCCTAAACAGAATTTCACACCACCCAGGGAGCCTTGCAACCCTTTTGGAGACTGAAGAAAATATTTTGATCACAACAGTGATCAAAAGATTAAGAAAAAAACCCAATCCAATCTACATTGGCAGTTGATTCAAACTTCTAAGCTACATCTCAATAAAGGCGAAATATTTGAAAAATAAGATGCTTTTTTAAGCCAATAGCTCTAAAAGGATGGGAAGAGCTGAGGAACTCCACCCATGCAGCAGGAATTGCACCCAAGGTGATGTGGAAACAGGAATGGCTGCTGGACATGGATCCCATTCCACATGTACAGATCAGAAGGAAATGGAAATGAATTCCAGTGGTCTGTAGCTCTACTGTACAGGAAGAGCAGGGCAATAGTCTCCTTTGGACACAGAGACATCCAGGTTGTAAAGATCATTTTAAAAGAATTACTCTCTTTCTAAAAAGCATGAATAAATCAGCTGTTGGTCCAAGCACAGCATCCAACAAACCCAAAACGAACAGGACTGACCAGTGCAAGTCACAGAATCCATGACCTCAAAGCCCACCCATGGGCAGGAACACCTTCCACCAGAGCACAGTGCTCCAATCTCCATCCAGCCAGGACTATTCCTGAAGGAGCACTGGAACTTCAGGAACAGCCTGAGGCAGCCAAAGGGCTGAATTTCCAAACCAGAAATGTCCAGGACAACACTGAAGCACCATTGCTGCTTCCTCAACCACCTCCATGTGCCCTCGACCCCCAGAAACTGGTTGTGTGTTTTCCAAGGTCAGCCAGTGAAATCCCAGCTCCTGCCACTCCTCCTCATCCCTCTCCTCCCACACTTTTGTCCTGACCAAGCAGACACGGAGTGTGTGTCCAGCCATCCCTTACAAAAGCATTTGTTCATTCCAGAACATTCCCCATAGCCCAAAGAGCACAAATACAAACTAAGCAGAGTGGCCACATTTTCACAGTGTATCTCAAATAATCCTGACTGCAGCATTCCTGGCCAGTTCCATTTATAACCCATTTCTGAGGGATGCTGGGGGCACAATCCCTAGCTTACATTTCAGTTACAAATCTGGATTACCAGCAGTATTTTAAATGGACATTTTACCATAAAGCCCATTTCATATCAGCCTGAAATGGTTCCACAGGGATTTTATTTCCTCCTCCAGGGATAACAACCTATTCCATTAGGATATGCTCCAAATCCTATTAGAATCATTATAAATTTAAATGCAATTTCCACAACTGCAATGTTGTTTCTAAGAAGGATCAAAATTCAACATGACCATCACCCAGTTAATCCATCCCCTCCTGTCCCTCCTCAAAAATACAGAAAAAATGCTTGAATTGATGTTTGACAGCAGAATTTTATGATTGTTATCTTTTAATTCCATGAATTAGTTGTACAAATTAGTTGGTTTTCTTCAAATGTATCCCAAAAAAAAAAGAATTTACATTTTAAATGAAAACGGGGAGTCATAACATTCTTCTTTAAAAAACAGCAGAACTATGTGGATAATACTTAGTAAAAAAAAGATATTTAAACTCCAAAACTATGTTGTAGGCAAGACAAATTCTTCCAACCCCTGAGCACGGTTGTGATGTCCTTAAAACACACTTAATATGCAGCTACAAAATGTGTGAAGCAAACACAAGCTGACAAAAAAGGGTTGTCTAGAGAAATGCAGAAAAGTGCCAAATTAATGTAGAAAAACCAGCATACCAAGAAGCAAAAAGGTTGTAAAAATGTAAACTACTACAGCAAATTATTTTGCAGCAAAAGCAGAGTTGCAGTTCATGAACAGTTTTGGTGGCAGTGACATTCTCTAATGCAGTCAATGGTTATGTTCTCTATCTATTTTAGAAAATTAAAGCCAATGTCCCTAGGGAGCAGTGGTGCCTG